TGTCAGTTGTTTGGTTTGTGTTACTGGACTTATACATTTTCTAAATAACCATTATTGTGTACCTTTAAATCTAGTACATATATCGTCCACCATCAGTGGCGGATTCAGAGGGGGCTAGGGGGCCATGCCCCCCCAAACGCATGACGATTCATATCATCTGAATTACGCATAGCATCTCTGCGATTTTTGCTCCGTAATGTTAAGCGAAGCTTGTCCCCCCTCCCCCCAATACATTTTGCTGGGTTCGCCACTGGTCCCCCTGTCTGTATATCTATAGCATTTCGCGGTTCGATCGAATCTAACATTATTACCACAGTTATATGAACTCTTGACTCACTCGTCTATTTTTCTGATAATATATGTATATATATATATATATATATATATATATATATATATCATGCAGCATCGTGTTTAATAAAACAATATCGCATGAGTAGGTTGTATACCATGCCGTCTGAAGCAAATACCACATTGACGTGATAACTTGTTGAGTTTTATTAACAAGTAAATTATTGAACTTTCCGTACTCTGTGGTTCGATTATCGACTGATTGAATGCTGATTTGCAACACGTGACTTCTTTTTCATCACCTGCGTGCCTTTAAGGACTGCGTCACTGATCACACCACTCGCGGTAACTGATTATACCATATAACTGTTTTCTATAGAAGAGCCGAGCTTATCAACGACTATGACAGGGCGTTAACTTAAACCGGGGGAGTCGTCACCTGCGCATGCGTCAGATGGCCATAGCGTGTCATTGTTTACAAACAAGCGTCTACCCAAGAGCCTTTGCGTTTTAGCGTGTATTGTTATCGTCGCTTAGGACTCAATTTCCGCGCGTGCGCAGGTGACGCCCCTCCCCTGTGTTATTCACTGTGTTATTAATGCTAAAATTGCTGGTTAATTTCTCCTGCTAAACAGTTACTTGGTAATTGTAACAGACAGGCAGACAAAGTTATTTAGACTGATAAACCATGGCGATTTGGCACGTCATATAACCTCTATTCTGCAGTATTGTTCGCATATTTCATTACAAATCTCAAAAATCACATTCCTATGCACGATAGCAACGAAACAAATTAATTATCAAACATTGACAGGAACATCTATCACTCGTAATCAGTTGCGTTGAATATCTGTACACAGCTGTTAATTAATTATTTAGTTCACGTTAGGGGTAATCTATTTCAGTCCACCTTTATGTTGACAAGGAATAATTAGAAATACTCGACAGCCAAGTAATGTTATCCGCAAATATCAATATCAATCATTGTCGGCGGAGAAGGCGAATCCCTATCGATTCGTTGTCTGTGTGAACCATCGTGGGTTTGAAGTGAACAGCGCGTTTGCGTGGGTTGTAAGATGGATGTAGGTATTTAATTATTCATAGCAAGTTGGCATAGTCACTTGTTGTATGTTGATGGCTGATGACAATCCAAATAGCACACGATTTTAAGAATGATACACATGGATAATATTACGCTGGGGTGGGAATATTTAACTGCAATAGAAAAAAATTAGGTCAGAGTGGGTTGAAAAGGTCCAAATCTAACATTACACAATATACACACAACGTTTTCTTTGGTCACTCGTATGAACTGATCTTGCAGACTCAAATGTCCGCCGAAATCTCGTTGAAGAGATTTTATTCTCGAATAGTCTTCTCCGTTTTCCATGTTTCTCGCCCGCTTATCCACTGACCAGTTTAACTATGGTATCTGGAACCGTGTACGCGATGGTGGAAAAGAATGAAGGGGGAAAACTAGTGTTGTGACTCTTTCGTTCTCAACGAGATTCCGGCGGCCACTTTGCGTCCCAAGAATATTTAATTTGACTTTAAATAACGTATATTTTTCTAAACAGATTCACTTTCTGTGGTAAGGTATAAGGTATATTGTGTACCCTTGTAATTGAAAGTGGAAAATGCTTTGCTTATTTACACAAAATCAGAACGAAATTGAACACACACGCGACGATCTCCGCGGCTCAAAGCAATAGAGTCGTCGCGGTGCGACGAGTTCAATGTGTCCCATGCGCCATATTAATTGTCCACCTGAATTTTTTTCGCGTGCGAGACGACTGTCACTAATAGTCACAGTACTGTGCCGACATATCCATATATATTGGTGCACTTTATGCGTACACACACGGAGCAGATGAAAGTAAGGTCCCTATAGCTCGTTTTGTATTTATTGTATTTATCAACATTTGGCAACTGCAAATGAATATAATAATTTTTTTTTTGTATCGCTAGTTGTGGTAATTTGTGCATCTGGAGAAACCGTCAGAAAAATCATGTTAGCCGCTCATGACCTGGGAATGACGAAGATAAACAAAGAAACTGGTCGAGCTGAATACGCCTTCTTTAACATACAACTATTCGACAGTGCCTACTTCGGAGATATTGGTTGGAAGAGAGGAGAGGGTGGCGATGGGAGAGACGAAGACGCGAAGGAAGCTTATCGTTCGCTGATGACTTTGACTTTGAGAAAGCCCGATACGAAAGAATATCAAGATTTCGCCAGAGAGGTGAAACAACGAGCACTGGAGGATTACGGATTTGATTATGACAAGGAGGGGGAAGATGTAAGTATGTACGAATCGGAGTTAAAATCCGATTAATGACGAGTGTAATTAGGTCAGATGCTAATCTTGCATTACTTTCATAGGATTCATGGAAATGAGCTTATATTCTTACAAAACTCTCAAAATCGCCGATTAAGTTTAATTTGGGCACGAGTATTAGTGTTATTTTGGGGCAGGGAGTTTACATTCAATATTATTAGTTGAGATAAGTAATAAGTATATTGTACCAGCACTTCGTCCCTGAATACGTCGTTCTGATTGGTCGAGAGCGTGTTTCTAATTATGCAAGCCGTGGTTGAATAGACGATATACTACGGTTTTCCGTGTTTTAGAAGTCAATATCTACAACAATCACTGAACAATACTATTTTGCAGACGCACAGACATAGCGCGTGGTGAAGGAAAATGTGATTTCGGGGTATTATGGGCTCAAAAGAGAAGCATGAATAAAATAAGTTTCAGTACAACGTAGACGACGACAAAAATATGATTGCCGTCTGTTTCGGATAGCTTGTGAGTTGTTTCCATCCCCAAAACGCATTCGGGAGTACGGCGCCAGTCTGCGTTTGTATTTTTTTTTTTAAATAATGTTGTTTGTGGCGGTTTTACATTTAACAATGCTACTGCACGAATGAATCTCAAGAATGTTAGCCGCCACTAAATGTGTCTGTAATTGATGTGTGCTAGTTCCAGAACCCTTTTCATTTAACCACGTCTGCAAATAGAATGTTTAGGGTGCTGTATCACATGCGAACATAATTTTGTGTGCTTTAAAGTTACTTATGTATGTAACTCAGAATTACTTTTAAAATGAAGTTAATACAATAATAATAGTAAATTGCCTTGCAACAATGACGGATTTCGAGCCCGGCGTGGCTTATTAGCAACGTTCCAAATTTAACATGACATCGTATGGACTTCTCTCGTCACATGATTTTGTACAGTGCCTTCAAAATGGCACTGGTTGGAATGTACAACATGCAACAGTGCTTTATATAATACAGTTATACATATTAATGGTTGCATTTTCCTATTAGGGTTCATTGCAATTTCGCATAATAATGAGGTCATATGACCATATAAGGCCATCTTACATGTTATCCACATCTCTTGTCCAATGACTTCCATATTGCACTGGTTGCATATCCCTAACTGCAACATTGCTTGATAAAGAATATTTATGCATATTAATGAGTTTACATGACCATATATGGCCATTTGATATGTTAGTCACATCTCGTGTGCAATTGCTTCAATATTG